GGGGGGGTTTGCTGCCGTATCTGCTGCTAGTTCTGAGTAATTTGTAAGTGTGACCTAAATTTTGTAAACTTTTTAATGTGCTAAAAACTTGGTGATAATTGCTAAGAAGGGGTAATTTGTGTACCTGTACTCCTTGTTGGTCCCTACATGAGGTCCAATTCACTGGTCTAATAGTTGTTAAATCTTTAATGAAAAGAATAAATACGTTCTAATGTACATGGAGCTGTTCTGTCGTCATTTTCTCTACTCCAAATCCCGACCCTGCCATCCAGGTGGGACCAGTCACTGCCAAGAAATCAACAGTCCCCTCCAAGTTAGGCCCTGGCTAACACTCGAGCACAAAGGAAAGTGGAGAAAACAAATGTACTTTTAAAAATGGTCATCTTACCTCACTGCCTGTACATGGAAATGGATCCAGCATTCTTCCTGACACGGTGCACTGGGTTTTCTTCTTTTTCCCCCCCCCACTGTACTGGCAGAAGAACAGGAACAAAACATGCACAGATGATTTAAGCCCTAAAAGATTTTCTTCAGAAAGTCATGAACAGGTCCTTAGCAGCAGTACTTGTCCTACTGCATCTGAAAAGCAGTGAAGAGTTAAGCACTAACAGAGAGCAATTGTCATGTCACAGCAATTAGCCTCAACATGTGAAAAAAGTGGCTTCACACTGTGTTTCTATCACATACCAGCAGACTTTTAATTGCAAAAGTTTTTTAGTGGCTTGATTTCAGTGCCATGAACTAGTTAGCTCTGTGACAGGCTATTCCTACATGCTCTTCAAGGATGTTCATGGAAAAGTATTAAATTATGTGCATGCATGTTGGCAACCTCAGTACATGAAAGCTGTGGGGTTTCATCTAAACAAGGTATGGAATCAATACCGTGTCTTCAGTGACTATTACAATACAGAGAAACCACTGGAGCAAAATGGGGCATAGGCCAAAATCTGTTGAAGTGATTTGTGATTTTAAGGCAGAAAAGTAAACCAGAAATCTGTTTTGCTTAACTTTGTTCCTTTTGCGTTTTGATTATCATCTAGTTGTTTGCAGGTCTTAGTGACCTGATTGCATTGGTTATGCTTGTCCTTGATACTAGCTGTCAGTATCAAGGTCTGTCACCTAGAAAATGGAGCCATATCTGATGGTGCTACATATTCCTGGGGTGCAAATTAAGGGGGAGCTTGGGAGGGGGCTGAGCCCTCCCAAGAGCCCCTGATAAAATTTGAAAATCATAAGGGGGGAGGGGAGGTCCTCCAATCAGATTGCTCCCTCACTTCAGTGGACTTAATCAATTAACCAGTTTAATTTTTTTTGCAGACCCCACCGCCGGAAGAGTCCAGTACAATTCAAACCCTGCATATTTCCTTTCTTTAATTTTAAACTAGTGTTTCAGTCTATGAAGCACCACACTTCTTTAATGGCACCTCAGACATCCTTGTGTCAAATCTCAAGATGTAAACTTCTGAGAGCTGGTTACAGGTAGTTTATCTGAATACAGATCAGCGATTTCTGCGCTAACTCCTGTTGCTGTTCAGGTGTAGAGTTCCTGCTTGATGCTGTTAGACTTTGGACAGCAGTAATGAAATAAATACTGAAAGATAGTTACTTATTCATACATTTTTTCCTTTTCCAAAGTGAAGGAAAAATCTTCCTTATATCTGGGTTTGTCCTTCCTTATTCCAAACAAGCTTCCTGCAGGTAGAGCAGTTCAGAGACCTGACTGCCCATCTAACTCTTGAGGCTGTTGCTCAAGCTGAGAAGATTAGCTTAGCCTTCTAAGAAAGCTGTACTGCCTGTTACCTCTGCTGGAGAAAGACTAGGAGCAGGCACTTGGACAGGTAAGACACCTGATGTGGTATAGGCTTCCTCCCCCTTTTTTCTTGTAATTTGTTTGTCCAGACCCTCACTACACTGACAGATCCACAGTTTAGAGAGATTAGCACCCAGAGCAGGAGACTTTCCTTATTTATCTTTTATTGGATAAAAAAATCAAAATGCTTATAGCAAAGTTAGATTCTAACACAAAAGAATCTCTTCATTTCTTCTTTCTAATGTCCCACCAGAAAGGGAAGGTTTGAACTACTTTCCCTCCCATAGATGTTTCATGCACAATGCTTGGTCTGGGGGGTCATGGACTGCCCGCTTTAAAAAAAGGGTACAAACGAGTCAGTCAAGTTTACTGTTCTCTCAGGCGAACACTGGGTCTGTGGTTGTTACACCTGGCAAGTGGCCAGGAATAAAATCAGTCTCGACCACATGGTAACAAAACGTAAAAAACTGGCACAAGAGAAAAATGGGCTCTTACTGGAGCAGTTCCCCCTCCCCCCCCCCCCC